AAAACAGCCTATAAGTTGTAGGTCATTCAACACTGTCAATGTCCCTCTATTTTATGTTCTAAAGAATAAATAATTAATAACAAACAAATACCTCTTTGTCTCTCTATATAACTACGTACGTGCACCAATAGAATTCATACAAATAGGAGGAAAATAATAAAATTAATAATGAAAGAGAATTATTAGAGAGAAAACAAAATTATATTATTTGATTTTGGTACTGAATATTCACATGTCTAACACTCAAAAACAAATAATAGTAAGCTAGAATAAATCCCCCTTGGAAGCTTTTTACTTGTGCTTTCTCTTTTTTAACACAATCTAAACTCCAATTTCAAAGATGATCCGTGAACTAACTTTGTCCCTCTTTGTTTTTATTTCTTTTCATGTTTCTTTGTTACTGTTCGAGCTGAGATGTATTAAAGTAAGAATGTTAAATAATGTTAAAAACAATGATGAATGTTGTTCTCTTTAAAACAACTTCAGTTTCATTATAATCACAAACACTATGAATCTATGATGCTATAATGGTGGGTCATAAAAATAAATTGAGGGTTATACCTATCAATGAGAAAAATAATAATTGCAATAAATAGGCTGATTTGTAGAACTCCATTAAAAAAACAAACATGCAACATAACTTAGAAGTGTAGAGGTTAACTAGCTAGCTCAAATTAGACGTAACAGATAACAACGCCAATGAAACAATTGTTATCTACCTCACTATTTTTTTTATTTTTTTTTTCTTTTGACGAGTACAACATTAAATTAAATCTAATGACTCATGTGTAGATTATGGGATTAACATCACCTTAAGTATATGTTAGCAAAATTTTACATTTTCTCTAATGAACAAAGTATAGCTTTGTCTCTTATCAAGAATTGGGACAAAGTAGAAAAATAAACAACTTACAAAAGCGGAACGTACAAAACGTATTCATTAATTTGTAGGATCATAATTTGAGTACTCTTTTAAAGATCAAAATCAGTTCCATTTGGAAGGATTCCACAACATGTATTTATTTATACAAAATGCCAATTTTAATAAAAAATGAGCCCTCTTTGACTCTTTGTTTTCTCTTTAATTCTACCCAATGACAACCTACAAATACCAGCCGCCGCATGAAATTTGATTTTCTCACCTCTACATACTTGCAACAAATTTATTTACACATAATTTTAAAAAAGTTTAAAGAAAATATTTCTTTGTACAAGTAGACCAAGTTCAAAATATAATACCAAGTATGTTGATTAAAGGTTAGAGAGTACATTTTATTCAAACAAATGTGAAAATGTATATGAAAAGAGAAGAAAAATAAAAATAACAATGCTATTAAGATGAGAGAAGATTAATAATAAAAAAAAAAATTAAAAAAAAAAAACAAAGATGTTTCAATTTATGGGAATGGTGCACTTATTTAAAAACGATGGAATAAAACAAGTGATGCACGCCATTTATTTGAAAACAAAGAGAGTGGAGTCATTCTCAAAATAAAAAGTGTTGCAAGTATTCAAATAGTAGAACAAAAAAAAAAGTACTGCAAGAATTTTAAAGCAGAGAAGGTATATTTACTGTTCCATTAATTAAGTAATGAAACTAGGGTTTAATTTGGGGAAGGTAACTGAAAATCACAAGATGATCAAGACATCTCTAGGAATAACAACTTTATGTCAATGTCTGCGTTTGAAGAAGGTAACAAGTGTGATGAATGCCACATGCATGTGAACTATCAAACAAAGGATTGCAATTGGCCTCAAATCCAAAGAAAGGAAGCATGACATTCAACATATAGAATTGAGTTGGATTACTTTGGAACATTTGGTGTCCCTTTTCACATTAATTGGATGTAACTAGATTAACAATTCATAACTAACAACAAAGGAAGATACAACGGTGATAAATATACCTAAGGTGGGGTCCACTAGCTAGATTGAGGCCAGGCAACAATAATAATGATATGGAGAACATAATTAGTTAATTACCAACATTATGACGAAGTACAAAATTGAATAATTATGGTTTGGATGCTACCAAGTACGAGTAATAATTTTGGTTGTTACATTACAAAGAACTACATATAAATCATCTCTACATCTGAAATTATTTCATTATTAAAATTAGGGTCTGTTTTCATTTACTTAACTAAGCTGAACTAAATTGTTTATGAGAGAAGAAAATTAGGAATTGAAGTGACTGAACTGAAATTAAGCTGAAGAGAACATGCCCTTAGTGGGTTTGGGATGAATATAAGAGGTCATCTCTCATTATGTTTCAATTTTTTTTCCTAAGAAGAAGAAATTTTAAAATATTACTTGTGTTGTCTTTAAAAGATTACATGCCCCATCAAGTAAATAAGGGGATAATAAGGTCTCAAAATTTCACTTGCCACTCCTAAATTTTCATTAACATTTTTTTTTCTGTCTTCATTAGCCACCCGTGTACAACCCGAGCCTACACACCACCATGGGGGGATAGTGTGCCTACACCAAAATTCACTAACTTTAGCGAATTTCGTTGTTTCGTGTCATATGGTGCTTTTCCAAAATAAAGGCTAATCGAACCTAACCCGCAACTCAACACACATAATAAAATATCATGTCATGCCTACACCGTGAACGTGTCATGTTTTTTACGTGTTGTATCATCTCGTGTCTCGAGCCTGTCCAACCCAATGACATATCTAGCTAAAACCCCTACATAAAATTCTCAATTAAGTGATGCCAAATAGCTTTGGATTGGTGGTAGTGAGGTGATCATTAGTCATGAGAAAGGTAGAGGTCTCAAGTTCTAAGTTTATTAGATTACAAGCCTCGTCTTTGTGTCTTACTATTAAATGCCCAAATGCGTTTTAAACTCTTTTTTTTTTGTAATCCCTCATACGAATACTTCTGATTCCACCATTGAGCAAAACATACTAAGGCGGAGAGGTTTTAGGTTCTAAGTTTATAGGCTTCACATTATAATTGAATGCACAAATGCATTATAAACTCACTTTTCTTTTACATTAGTCCTTCCTACGAAAAGATTTGGCTCCGTCAAAGAGCAAAACATACCAAAAAAAAAAACATATGGCTCCACCATTGATCAAAACTAACAAAGGCTAAATACAGAAGGCACTCGGTAACATTTTAGACCTAGCATTGGATGATAGCCAAGAGTTGTGGATTATGCATCAATCCAAATAAGACTCAACATCTTCATCTTCAACTTGAACCACCCACAACACACCCCTAATAAGAAAGAGGATATAGTAGGAAATACAAACCTCATAAAATCCATATGATTTCTTTGGACCCAATGAAGGATGAAATAATGTCATTGTGTGTCTAGTGCATGCCTTTCAAGGCATATCATAATAAGGACATGATATCTTAAAACCTTTTCCTTCAACAACCAATTCCCTAACCACAAGGAAACACATTTCACTTCCATCAACAGTTTTCCAATTAATAATAATACAAGCTCAGGAACAGAGTAAATAAAAGGCAACGCATTCCTCCAATCATCTCTCTTTAAGACCCTCCCATTAAAGATCACGAGAGGGTCCCTAAAGTTCACGAGCATGTGATCCCACAAAAAGACGGCTCTCTAAGTCACATCTTCATATATTCCATTATTTCCTTTCTGGATTTTTACACTACATTATTCTTTTATGATGGTCATACATTCAATTTTCTTTTCTTTTTTTTCAATGATTCTATCCGTGATACTCTACTTGGTAAAACTAGGATATGTTTTGTATTATAGGGTTCCTTGCTACCTAAATTGGGTAAATAACTAAATATAATAATACACACGCTACACAACAATGTGTGGGTGTTAACTAGCCTAACAATGTGTGGTCGTGTGGATGTTAACGACTCTGATTGGTAAAATATATATACACTGTATGTATGTAATCGGTACCTAATTACATCTTTGCAAATCATTATGCTTTATGGCTCCCTATATACCAAAAAGAAAAATCATAATATATAGTTATGGACAATGCCTTGTTGGGGGAGGACCTGATTGCTACCTCCATGTTAAAGTCTCTTGAGCTGCCAACCTCATAGTATTATACCATCATTTCTGCTTTATAGTATCAGTTTACAATTATTATATTGCAAAAAAAAAAAAAAAGGATACAATTATTATAATTTACGCTTACATTACCAACTTAATAAGTTAATAACTAACTTAGTAGAGAATTCAGATAATCAAATCTCAGAGGATCAGACTCAGATTTTATACCTCCTTAGCGCCCTACACTTAACTTTGACATCAAAATGTAATTCTCTTGCCTAATTTTATCAACAAGGACATAGGCAATCGCAAAAGGCAATGATATAGACAAAACTCATTACCCATAATTCACAAAATAAGTGAGTTGGTGTCTTTTGCAATAACATGAGAGACTAAAAGTATAAAAATTTAACTTTCAATGCCAGGTAAAGAGGGAAAATATTCTTTCCACAATTTCTCACTGTAAAAAATAAACAAGTTGCAAACCTAAAGTTATGGCCCTATTTCAAGCATGTACTACCAACAGTTTTAGTAAAAGAACACTCAGTCCTGACTTGTGGATACAGGATGTTGCTTTTATGACCATAATGAGAGCAACAACAAACTATAGAGTGAATCATGAAAACTCTGAAAACTATTAACATGATCGAAATTAGACTAAATTACCAATCAAGAAGATATGAATAATATAAAGTATACAATACACGTAACAAATTACCAATCAAGAAGATATGAATAATCTGAAGTATACAATACACCCAAGAAAGGCTGCATCAACTAAAGCCTCAGTGTGGTTATCTAAATAGATAATGTATGAATGTGCAGTCGATAGTAGAGATGTGTACAACAAAAATGCACAAACTTTGTACGCACTTGCACATAATTCATTCTAATTGCTAGATATTCAAGTCTCAATAATTCGCAAGTGACGATATGATAAGTTGATAACTATCACAACCAAGACCTTGATGTCTAGAGATGAAAGTATGGGGAAGAAAACAAGCTTGCCAAGGAAAATTATCTGTCAGCTAGAAGTAGCAATCACTACTATATCAGGAGGCACGTAAGAGTATAAGATTCTAAATCCTTTGTTTACTAGTCAATTTCTGGAGTAAAAAATTTGATAAATCAGGTCTATTATGTAATTGTGCAAGTTGTCGCATTTTTTCTTGCTTGATACCAAAACTCAACATGCTTGCAGTTAGAACTAATGAATTTTTTAAAATATGTTTTAATAATTATTATAAAATATGCACCTAAAGTCTGCACCTGACATAATATGCTGTGCCCCGATCTAAAATATAGAGATCTTCTACTAATGCCCTTGTTTAAAATAAAATTATAAAAAATTTGTAATTCTTACTCGTGTCATCTCTATGGTAACAATAATTGATGGTAATGAATTATTATTCATAATTTCACACTGGCATTCACACTCATGCAGTTCCTTTACAGATACTAATTGACTGTGTAATCCCACAACGTACGCACATAAAGACGGAAGAGGTAATCTTTGAAACTACGGAGTAATATTGCCTACATGTGATTGGAAGCTCTAGGGACGTACAAACAATGCACAAAAAGGTGTCAATACACAGTTCATCTACTGACTACTGGTGGAGAGGCGGTTGAGTTCATCATATGTCCCCTAACCCTGGCATACGTTTGATAAGTCTCAGCTTTTATGTTAAACTTTCAAATAACTCCCAAGTCCCAATATCCGAGATCCTTGACCTTCTAATATGTATAGACATTCGACACTTCATTTTCATTTTGGATCAAAAAAACATGAACATAGTTCATACTAATAACTGAGTACAACAATTGGACCCCACACACCAAAACCGAGTTTGTGTAATATTATAGCTCTACTCAACTACTTCGTATCAATAAAGGTGGCCAAAGTGGTTTGATTTTTATACTGGGGGGCCTTTATGACTCACTTTGGTGGTTCATTTAGGGGATGCCTTAATTTTTGTTGGGGTTGCTATATTGTACTAAAGCTTTTCTGAAATTTCCCGGAATTACTGATTTGAGTTTTTCTAATTTTGAATTTGCAGCTTGAAAACCTGGCTTCTGTGATTCAGCCATTAAGAAACATTAAGAATGGTCTTCAACAGCTGCTATTCAGCAACTTACTCCAAAATGATGATTAATTGATTATAACATATTAATAGCACATAGTCCATATGACATCACTGACATTCTGAAAAGTGAAATATTTGTTTTATGCATTGCGTTCTCCACTCTCCACAGTACTACAAAAATAGAGCATTCTCTGTCATAACAAACCAGGTAAAGCTCAAAACAATGGGCTATTTTGGCTGCTGTGTAACAGTATTTTTAAATTATGGAACTATTCTGATCCAAGCGCTGTAATTACTAAGTGTAGAACAGGTTTTGCCAAGATCAGACAGTAGCTGATGTTAATCAAAGTCATAAATTGTACAACTAATAGCACATTTTCAGCTAAATCCCTTTGACACGCACTGAAACATCTGAGTAGCTAAAGGAAGGGAAATCAGCTTGTAGTTCTAATTAGTGTTGAACACAAACTATCCATCTCGCTAAACTATAATCAACACTTAAATGTTTTATCTTTATTTAAGCTTAAAATCGCACTTAAAATAGTCTGCATTATCGTTTAGATATAATTAAATGAAATACTTGATATAACTATCTAATCAACATGCTAGCAAATTACGCTACTAATTGAACCTACCACCTGTGAAAGCTGCTAATTCAGTACTAATTATCTCTTCCAATAATATGAGCTAAAACCCTTAATGTATCGTTAATAAAGTTCTCCGTCTAACATTTTAAACGTTCTTGAGGAGGTTCCATAGGAATTAATCTTGAGAAAATTGTTGCTAAATCATGCAAATTATAAGAAAATACCAAAGCTTAAAGAGTATTAAAAACTCTTACAGATACTCTGGCCCCGTATTTGCTGTTGGTTGAGAAGACAAAGTACATAAACTCTTGCCCGTGAATGTTGCATGTGACCAATAGAGAGCTGTTACAATCAGAGCCCTTGAAAACTTATAGCCATATGATGATATCCAGTCACGTGCACTCATTGGCATTTAAAACCACTAGAAAAGTGGGAAAATATATCCTAAATCATGGAAATAAAAAATAACAGGGGAGATTAAGAATTTGGGGCAGCATCTAACTTTACATTAAAAAATATTGTGATAAATCAATCAAGATACTGCGGCGTATTATGCGTGCATAATCATTTTCATTATGAAATAGAGAAGATGAAAACACATGAAGAAATGTTGAAGCAAAACGAGCATACTTAACAAGATAATCAAAATAGTAAAAATGCAAACACATATCAAACAATACTCTTTGCCCCATAATAATTTTATATTAATGTAATGTCACATCTTAATGATAATTGTATTGTACATAAAATTGGAAACAAGGCCAATATGTTAACCTGTAATCAATATCAAATTTAATAAACATTTCATGATCATTATGCTTACATAGAAGATTTTACGAGAATAATGCTAATGCAAAGTGCTTTGCCTAGCTGAGATTTGTATAAAATCAAGGAGTATAATATTAGAATTTAGAAATCAGTATCAAGTATCAACAACTGGATGATTCACATGCAAACAAGAAATGGACACATGTCAAGCATTTGAGGGCCATTACAAAATTATCCCAAATTTTTTTTAAAATAAATAATTAAATTTATAAAGAATGATGATGAAAAAGCTAGTAGCTTTGAAGAATTGAGGAGAGGAATAAAACAAATATGGCTTGCCTAATGGAAAGATTGGCTCGTGTATGCATAGTCTTCTGTTGTTATAAAATTCCCCAGTTATAAAAACCACAACCACCTCTGCTTCTAGTTATCAGAAGAAACACCTGCTCTGTGTGTGTGTCTCTCTCTCTCTTCTCCCCATCCCTCCTCCCATACAGCCTCTTCTTTCTCTCTCTCTCTCCTCCCCATTATTTGTGCTATAAAATCACAAAAATGAGTAGTTTAGACTTCAAAAATCTCACATTAATGCTACTCACTGTTACACTCCTTTGGTCTACAAATTTTGATATATGCAATGCTAGAAGAGACAGACATTGGAGACATAGTAGACCTCTTTCAGCATCATTACTAAAGAAAAAAAGTAAAAGTCATGGATATCACAGCCCCAATCACCACCACAGCAGTAAGCCAAAATCAAAACCGCATTCTCCACCAAAGCCGAGTCCGGGAAAAGATACACCGTCACCATTGCCTCTGCCAGTTCACAAAGCTCCATACCATAAAGGGTCGCCTCCTAAAACTAAGTCCCCACCAAATCCTACACCAATAGTGGAAGTTCCGTCACCCGAACCAGAGACAGGTTCCAGCATTTTCAGTGTGCTAAATTATGGAGCAAAGGGTGATGGTACTACAGATGACACGAAGGTAAAATTTTAAACTCCACAATAACTCACTTTGTTTAGATTTTAGCCACTCAGCATAACAACTCAGTCCAAATGGGAGTACTTGAAAGATAAATTTAAAATAAACAGCTAGAACAGGGAAACACGAGAAACTTCAATGACAAAGTTAGCTATTTTTAGGGAAAAATTCTAAAGACAATGACAATTTGGAGCAGAGCACATACGACTAGGTGTCTAGGTTAGTTACACTTAAAAAAAAATAGTGAATAATGCAGATAAACAAAATCGTATTGGTTTTTGTATACAGGGACTCCTGAAGAGCTGAACTAGATTCAGTTTCAACACTTCAGTGGGCAGAACACAATGTCTGTTCTGTTTTCCTAAAAGCTGTCCATAACAGGGAATTTTAACAATTTTCATTAAAAAATCAATTATAATTATTTTTTCATGTAAAATGTATTTTCGGTGCAAATTTATCCCTGTTTGTATCACTATTGCCTTCACATTGCCTTAATGCACAATATAGAATGCCTAATCTAGGTAAAACAGAGTATCATTTATATGTTATATTAGAAATAATGATGATTTATATCACTTTGTAAATATAATCAATACAGAATATAAGTTCAATGGTTAAAATAAAAAGTAAAAAATGACAAATAAATATATCTCCAAAAAAAAAATGCATAGATAACTTTACCTCCATAATTACAATAATTTTATTGCTAAGCCTAAGACCCTTCATAGGAGCCTATTACCCCTGCTTCTCCAAAAATGCATCACTTTTGACTTTTTACTATATATTCTAACTTTGATCATGTTTAGTTACATAAAATCATAAATGTCATAATTTTTATATGTTGTTAGGACATTCACAATGCATATTTTCAAAAAAAATATCAAAATTTTATAATTTTTACTACTCCGTGTATTATGTAATTTTTACGCCTATACATGGGTTTAATAAAGTCAAAATTGATGCATCTATTGAGATTAGAAATTATTAATTATAGCAAACAAAAACTTAAGTGTAGTTTAGTGAGGTAGTTGATTAAAGTTTACTGCAAAACAGTCAGTCATATTCCTCGAAAATCGTGAAAACTATAGGTCACTCAGCTTTTTAGGGGTGGAGAGGAGAGGAAGGCCAAGGAAAAAAGGACAAGGTTAATAAAGTAAGGGAAAAAAAATTTTAGTTACGGCAGTTAGGCTATAGATTCCAGCAATAATTATATGCGCAAATGCACTAACTGCCACACGAGAAGCAACCATAAAGTTTTATGTTTAAAGAAATATTTTACGGATACACTGAATGTATTAATGCTTACTTGTGTATGTTCTGTTATTGTGCACTGCAGGCGTTCGAAGCTGCGTGGGCAGCGGCTTGTAAAGTTCAATCATCAACGATGTTGATTCCATCAGGATATCAGTTCCTTGTGGGACCCATTTCATTCTCTGGTCCTTACTGCCAACGAAACATTATATTTCAGGTAATCACTAACAACTTAACAATGTTCTCTTTTTTATTTTAATTCATTGGCGAGGTATTGCACTATTGCAGGTTATGACGAATGTATAAGCAACACTATAGAACAGACACTTAAGTTTAAAGTTTGAAGTAATAATCTGTAGGAGTTAACGAGTTGTACTAACCTGGCTTCTTAAAAAATGCTCCAGCTTGACGGGACTATCACTGCTCCAACAAGTCCTAATGCTTGGAAAGCTAATCTGATGTGGTGGATGGACTTCACCAAGCTGGTAGGACTTACCATACAGGGGAAGGGCGTAATCGATGGAAGTGGCTCTGTTTGGTGGACTGACGCTCCATATGATGATCCAGAAAAAGATCATGAATTGCAAATTATAAACCCATTAAATGACACGGTCTTAAAAAGGCCCCCAATGCCGGTAATTATATACACTCTTTCACTCTCTGCCCAACCATGTTTATAGTCCATTAAAACTGACTATATATGCCAACCTTGTTGTAGGAGAGAAATGAGCTCAGTGGAAAAATGCCTAGTAACAAGCCAACGGTAATTGACCAAATTTTAAACTTCGTATTTCCAAGTACTTTATATATAATGATAATTCTGCAATTCACGATCACCAGATTCTCCTAACTCCATCTCTCATGTTGCACAGGCACTAAGATTTTATGGCAGCATTAATGTGACAGTCACAGGGATCAGAATTCAGAACAGTCCTCAATGTCATCTGAAGTTCGACAATTGCGATGGAGTCTTGGTTTATTCTTTTAGTGTCTCGTCACCAGGTGACAGTCCTAATACTGATGGAATCCACCTCCAAAATTCCAAAGATGTGCTCATTCACTCTAGCAGCCTTGCTTGTGGTAAATTTACTATTCTGGATCAATAGTAGCTCCATCACAACTATTTATTATTACTAGCCAAAATTTGATCAAGAAAACTAAACCTATTAATTATAGAGAAAACTTAGCATTAAGAAAATCAGCAAATGGGATACATGGGGTTAAATCTGAGAGTTACCTCCAAATTACCAACCTGGCAATGGAGTTCAACCATTAGTCCACTGTCACCTAGCAAGTGCCATCTTCCATATAAAATATGTTCTAGCCTTCTGGGGCTACAACCACCTACAGCCATGTATCAAAAAACAATTGTCACTACTCACCACCACTACATCCATAGGGATAGGATGCCAATGAATACAGGACCACAACAATAAACCCACCAAAAAAAAAAAAAAAAAAAAAAAAAAAAAAGATGTCATCTGCTAGAACATTATAATTGGTCCTTCTGCCCAACCAAAGTCCATGAACACATTGCCATAAAAGTTTTAGATAGCCCAAACAAGAAAATTAATTCTAGTTACTCTAAAACTAAATATGAAACAGGTTCACGTGGTAAATTGGCTGTATCTAACGGCGAACAACTGAATGCAGGTGATGATTGTATATCCATACAAACAGGATGTTCGAATGTATACATCCACAGTGTAAATTGTGGACCTGGACATGGCATTAGTATTGGAAGTCTTGGAAAATTTAACACTAAAGCCTGTGTCTCGAATGTCACTGTCCGAGACGTAAACATACAAGGCACAATGACTGGAGTTCGCATAAAGACATGGCAGGTAAAAATTACATTTACACAATTGTTGAGTAATTTTGTACCATTACTAAAGAACTTGCACTCTTCAATTTCGGAGACAACCAGCTTTGAAAAAGTTAAATGCAATTTAATCAACAAAAATCAACTTTCAATAATAATCAAGTGAAGAGAACAGGGCTTCTCAAACAAGGCTCAAGACTCAAAAATGGAAAAGAAAGACCATCACCATATGCAAAGAAAATTAATCCATATGCCTCTGGCTGCTGTATTTTGCAGGGTGGTTCGGGATCCGTGCAAGGCGTATCATTTTCAAACATTCAAGTTAGTGAAGTTCAGCTTCCAATTGTAATCGACCAATATTATTGTGACAAAAGCACATGCAAGAATCAAACAACAGCGGTTGCTGTATCAGGTGTCACATATCAAAATATAAAAGGCACATACACAGTAAAGCCTGTACATTTGGCATGCAGTGATGAGCTACCATGCACAGACATATCATTAAATACCATACAATTAAAGCCACTAAAAACACGTTATCACTTGTACGATCCATACTGCTGGCAATCGTTTGGTGAGCTTATGGCTCCGATTGTCCCTCCACTTGGTTGTTTACAAATAGGAAAGCCATTGAAGAATAGGGTTCAGACTGATTATGATATATGTTGAGGACATCATAGCTGCTCTTAAAGTTTTCCAATTTTCCTTTTGTGGTCGGTCAGATGATTGTTTGTTCTGACCCTTTTCACACTATTGGCTAGATAGCTGAAGAGTATATAACTATATAGATTAAATTTAGTAGGTTAGAACCCTACTTAGTAGGGCTATATCAGTTACATTCCAGTGTGATTATAACTTACCAGGAATTGTCATTTTATTTGGGCATTATCCCAGTGTAAGATATTACATAAAGCTTGATATAGATGTTTTATAAATAATATAAAAGACCAGTAAATATCTGCCTACACTTTCTGTGAGCTTCACTGTGTTCAGTGAGCTGAAAGCAACAATGATACAGAATAGAAGTATCAACAGTTATGTATCTTCAGAATACGACAAATTTTCAAAATTGAACACGAGGAAAGCACTTCCACGGAAATGCAAGTACAACAAGCAACATTCTATAACTTTCATGATCCTTAAGAGTACAAAAGAAAATAAGATAACTTTTCGATTTCCAGCAATACTAGTTGTATTCTTTTTCAGTCCCTAACATATCTGCAGTTCAACAAGATAAACCAAAATTCAGAGTTTTTGATGTACTCCAAAGCACAAAAGACAACAAAATTCTAATCTTTATATTCTGTCATAAGACGGATCAGCAAACAATAGACAATATATCTTCTGTCATTTAGATCATTCACAGAGATGTAACCATATCTGAAGTGTTATCTCCAGTCAAAACTCCTGAATGCACTAGTTTGTTTGGGTTCTATCCAAACCTCCCTGAAGGCTATGCAGTCTTAACTGAAAATGAAGAGTCCTGACACTTCCAAAATGTTTTCACCAAGATGGTCCAAAGTTAAGTTTATTCAAGTGTGGGCTCCACGGCTCCACCTATAAAAATCCTGACAGTCTTGAAAGACTCTGAACAGCTTGTTCCTCATCCAGTCATCCATGATAGCTACTCAGCTGCTCACTAAGTTAATAGATAACAGAATGTAAGAGCTCCAGGAATTGAAGAGTTTCTAACAAACTAGTCCACTACCTTTCTAACAGAACTTTACAATAACTTCACCACGACTTCTCAGTGGCAATGAAAAGTGTGTTTTATACTCACTTAGGCTCATTAGGATAAGGAGTCATGTAGTTTAGATCATTTTAATTTGCATTCAGGGCATATTTGCATGCTTTTTATTTGCTTTGGTTTTCCTTGTATTTGATTCTTGGAGAAAATTTTCCTCCTCGTGTAGATTCAAGCTATAAGAAGTCATGCATTGGAGAAATTTGGAGGGTTTAAGGAGTCAAATTGGAAGAGGAAAAAGAAATGGAGCTCATGGGAGTTACCTCACCATCATCATCTCATCATCAAAATAGGAGGAAATAAAAGAAGAGAACCATCAGCTCATACCTTCCCATATGCTATCCAAATAAACAAATGAAAATCCCTTAGCCTAAGGGAAGCCAAGAAGAGATGAATAAGAGCAAAATGACCCTTCCAAGAGCCATTTTGGAAAAATAGAGCCAACAATTAAAGAAAACAACCATTTTCAGAGGAGTTGGTTGGTTTAGAAGAAATCACTAAGCTCAAAACAGTTGTTTCTCATGAAAAAGATCGTTTAATCCTGCTTCTTCTTCAACAGCTACTTTATGTTTTTTGGGATTTTCCCCCTCCCCTATAAATACCATTGTGTACCCCAAGGTTTAAGGAGAGCCTCTTTAGACATTTTTTACTGGTGTTAATTTTTTAGGCTAACACAAGTCACCTCAAGTAGTGTTTTAGTTTCTAGTTTCAGTTTTCTTAAAATACGCATGTTTCTTTTCTTAATCTTCAAGCACTTTAACCTTTTGTATTTCTAATCTTTGGGAGCCTTGATGTTTTCTTCATCAAATCTTTCCAAGCAGATCATAAATATACAATTATAACTTTTGATTTTTCCAGTGTTCACATTTATTATCAAAATTATATAATTACATCTTTTGATTTTCCATTGTTCATATTTATTTAGTTCATCTTAATCTTAAAAATCTTTACCTTTTTTTGGCATTATATTCATCTTTTAGTTTGAAGTTCTTTTCCCAACATAGTTCTCCATATGTCAATTTATGCAATCTCATGCCAAAGTAAATAGTTTTCTTACATTATGTATGAGTAGTTCTCTTGGTCTAGGATTTGGATGACCCCTCATAGGGTTATGATGGTTATGCTTAGTTGATTTCATGTTTAGCATTATACTTGCTTTGTGACTTGGCATGTTGAGAATGTGCCTTTATACTTCTTTTGTTGTATGTTTGAGGTTGCCTAATTGATCTATGTCAAGTCTACATTGCTATGAGAAGATCGAAACACGTCAAACAGTAATCTAGAAGAAAAATCTAAAATCAGCATGATTAATAAGTGCTAAATTTTGTAAACTACCACAGTACATAAAAATCATGCCTAGTCAAGGTAAAATCATTTATATAATCATACACCAAAACAAACTGAAAAAGTGGGACCTAAAATGAGAAAATCATTACAATGACTATACTCATGCAAAGACTTCCATAAATTCTCTCAGTACAAGCATTCATGAATAACCCCATACATTATACGCAACTACATTGATGAATATTTTTAATACTCTTTTGAATTTATCCTGACTTCTGTTTTTGGGTAAAAAGTTTGGAGAGCATGACATCAGGTATGCTAGTTTCCTAGCTAAGGGCACAAATAAAGCAACAGACAGACAGAACCCGCCAAAATGGGATCTTTAGAGGGATCTTTAGAGCGAAAGGAGTGGATATATCACCCGTCTTGAACACAGAAAAAATCCATACAATGGCTCTGTGCATTACTTTATTATTATATCAGTTATCAACAATACAGCTGAAATCAACTCATCAATTAGCTCATACGTTATCATGTCAGCTAAATGCCTAAGTTAATAATGCAGTTTAATTCATACAAAGGTTACCATAAAGCTTTCAAAATGTGGCACTACCATTCCGAGACTTTAGAATAACATTAACACCATATCTATCCTCCCCAATATTGTAAATGAAACCATGTGCACATGAAGTTGTACCTGTGCCTCCTTTATCACTGAACAATATCGTTTGAGAAAGGACAGTGAGTGGCAGATTGGCAGTGAATGATAGCCCTCAACTCCAAACACAGTCAAATGTGTTCCACCTAATCCTGCAAGCACAAATAGACGCAAAGATTAACAAATGACCGTCCGCTGTAACCAAGTGTAGGCAATCAGGCTTCCTACTTGAATCTAATTGTGTATATACCTTCCAACAGAAGCGGATTCTCCCTTTGCTTTCTGAATTTCATCGATGTTACTCCATGTTTCCCTAATCTTGTTCAAATTAGAGCTTAAACCCAGCAGTCTTTGACATAGAGACCTTCTGAGGCATGCTATTGTGCTGAGCTGCATTGCTACTGCAAATAGTAAGGACTTGGTTAGTTTAAGCACTGATCATTAAAGCAGTACATTATCAGAAACAATCATACAGAAAACCACTTCATCAATCTTAACCACAGCAAGATACATACAGAGGGACTGAAAAATGAAAGATGATGCATGTATGTTCAAGGAATCAATGCAAATTGCTGACTTTTCTTAGTCTCGTTAAAAATTTTGCCATTTCCACACTAAATTTGAGAGTCTATGAGGATGAAAATCATGTCATTTAATTCTGATGTAATCAATCATTTCACATCGCCGACAAGTGGTAGAAAGTTGAATTACCATGCAATAGTTTTCTGATTGTTCTCCCTATAATTCAATCAAACTCATGTGATTTTATATATAATTTTCTGAACATATCTATTCCTAAGTAATACGAAATACTTCTCTTGGCTGTCCTTTTTTTTTCTTTGGGTTCTTTTGCAGCCTATCATGATTCGGGATCAAAATTGTGACTTAATGATGATTAGTGATTGCCGTGTAATCAACACGAGTTTAGCACTTATAACATAGATAAATGACTGATTCATTAAATTATTCTTCTATTTCAGTCTTTCAGATAGGGGAGTCTTAACAGTCATACAATGAATAAACCACAGTAATGCACTTCAATGGGTCACCATTTCCAATTTTCCATCTCATAACAATCATTACTCCCAATCCTCAGGAAGTCCACATTTGCAACAGCAAAACCACAGCAAATTTCATAATAATCAATCTTCGTTAAGAAACCCCTAATTTACCATAAAATTGGGGAAAAAATTAACCAATCTTTTCATCAATAGCTCATCACCAAAACAATCCAACAATCACACCAACTCAACTAACAATTAAATCACTAAATACTAATTCACACAATCATCTCAATCAATCACTGGTTTTATTTGATGAACCAAAACCAAGCCCTAATTCTTAAACAAGTTCAGTGTTTGTAATTATTAACAAATCAATCAAAAAATTGAATCAAATAAATTACAAAGTAACTTACTAAATCATCCAATCATCACAAAAAGTTCACATCAAACCCTAGGCAATCCCGTTATCACGAAACATTGAATTTAGCATAATTCAGAAGCTCTTCAACAACGAAAAATTAGGGGAAAAGGTTAAAGAATGAGTACCAACAGAAAATTGATGCCAATTTACCAACCTTAATCCGAATTTCCGATTTCTGAATTCGTCGAAAGTTGCTGTTGATTGATTTTCGCTGTGTTGTTCAACTTTGGAGGGAGAGTTCGATTTTCGCGCGCGTTTTTTTTAAAACATTTATATACGGTCGTTTATTTCTAAGGTTCTTCTTCTACTTATGAATTTATGATTTATGAATTTGTGAGCTAATGAGCTTATTGTGAGATCCATTGATATAATAAGAAATATTTGGCAATCTTACAAGTTATAAATTCAACTAAAAAAAACAACTAAATTTTGAAAATAGTATAGTGTACTCGGGTACACCATGCCGCACCCGAAAAAACATTAGACATATTTTAAAGAACATGGAAAAAATATATATATATATATATATATATATGTGCTAGTGTTTGCAAAAGAACATACCTCTATTTGACAAAAGAACATGTTTGTGTTTGACAAGAACATGACATTTACAAAGAACATAAAGTCTTTACAAAAAGAACATGTTATTTTTCATGGATAGTCGGATGGTTGAATATGTTTGAAAAAGAACATTATATTTGACAAAAAAGAACATGTTTATGTTTGACAAAGATAGAGGTGATCATTGGGCGGGTCGGGCCAAGGTTAAAAAAAGGCAGCTCACTTCTCAGGTAGGGCCAAGTTTTGGGCCGAAGTTTTTGTGCCCAAAATGGTCCGGTCGTGCAGGTTTTTGGGTTGAGTCAAAAAAATCAACTAAAATGCATAAAAACACATTCTCAAACCCGCCCAAATTAAAAATAAAAAAAATTAAATTTACGGGCCTGGGGGCGAAAAATTCTGCCCAAAACTCGTCTAAAATCGGGTCAGGTCGGTCTTTTGATCATCTCTAGCCAAAGAACATAAAGTCTTTACAAAAAGAACATGATAATACATTAAAGAATATGTTCTTTTTCCTAGTTACTCGGGGATTGTTTTTTTTTTTTTTAATGTACATACATTAAAGAACATATTGTATAATGTAAAGAACATATAGTTCATCAAAGAACATAATAATCAAACTTAAAGAACATATAATGTTCGCGTTCTTTATAAATATATATAATGATTTTTTTTTTCGCCCATGTTCTTTTAAATATACCTAATGTTCTTTCCTGGTGCACCATGCGCATGGTGCACCCGGGTGCACCAGACCACACATTACTAAATTTGGGTAACATTACAAGGAATTTCGTTAACGGATGCAGAGTAGACAAACTAAAATATGACTATCTAATAAAAAGAAGGAAAATTTGTCCAAAAAAAACCTTTTAGATACACCATTTTGCGAGGAAAAAAAAACTTTTAAAAGCTTTTTGGCTAAAGAAAACCTGATTTTTAACATTTTGGCAAAAGAAAATCCGAATGTGATTTTTTTTTGTTGAAGACAACCAATTGTCTCTAATCTACTTAATTAACTTCTAATTTATTCTAATTATCCTTTTAATACTCACTTAACCATGTTATAATAAAATTAATTCATAAAAATTAAAAAAGAACAAAAACCACCACCCTTCTCACTTTCCACCTCCCCTTACAGCAGCCCTCTCCTATCCCCCTCCCCTTGCAGCAGCCCTCCTCCCCCACGCCACCTACAACCTCTCATCCCCAGCGACCTACCTCCACCTTCGATCGACTCCCCTTACCCCCGGCCTGCTGCAACCCTCCACCTCCCCTTCCCTTCGAACATCTACCTTTCACTTCTCCCTCAAACACTCTCAAAGACACTACCCAAATTTGCTAAGATCTTTTTGGAAGCTTCAAATCAAGTTCTCTCACACAATCAATGCATTTTTGCTTCGATTTTATCTTATAATATGCTTGAATTTTGCAATTATTAATTTCTCCATAAACCCTAGAAAAATCGAGGGGTTTCTAATTTTGTGCATCTAGCTTGCAATTGATGCTTGTGTGTTAGTTTTGATTATGTATGTATGTGATGGTAGGATTATTTGGAAGCAAATTGCAATTGATTTGGACTTGATTTGAGCAATTTAGAGCCAAAAACTGAAAATTGCTTACTTGTGGTGGTCACCGCCGAGGATAAGGAAGAAAGGGATGATCGGCCGGCGGTGGAGGTAGGTCGCCAGGGGTGGGGATCTGGGTAGCGTGTCCAATGGGGGAGGGGGTGGTTGAGAGGTGGTGGTTTTTTTAATTAAATTTAATTATTACTCATAAATAGGTGGGTTAGAGAGTGATTAAAAGAAAGAAAATAAAATTAAAGACTAATAAGTGAATTAGAGGACAATTAGAGAAACACAAAAAAAATGAAGGTGGTGGTTTTTTTTTAACCAAAAAAATTTTAAAGGGTTTTTTTTTTTTTTTTATTTACAAAATGGGGCTTTTAAAAGATTTTTTTTGACAAATTTTCCTAAAAAAAAATTGATAGATGATTTTTTTTTTTGTTATTTACATTAAATACGAAGTTGTAGTAGTGGGACATGATCTAGTTGATTTCATATGTTATTTTAGATCCTTCCTAGGGCATGTTCACTTTAGATTAATTTCAGTTCCAAACAGTTTAGTTCAGTTCCTATTTTCCTTCATTCGTAAAATATTCATCTCAGCTCTATTCAGTTCAGTTCAGCTCCAATCAGTTCAATTAAGTTCGGCTCACTTCAGCAAATGTGAACAGGCCCCAATTAACTTGGTATTAACAATTACTTGTATGTTTGAACCAAGGTTTGTACCGTAGTTTAAAATTTTCTCTACAATGTGTCGAGTTGTGTCATTCTTATATTCGTGTTCAAAGTTAAATGGTTGAAGGATCTCCATTCTAACCCAACACATTTAATCAACATCTCGTGTCATGTTAAGATGCGTTAACTAATCATGTAGCAAACCTTTAACACTGACCCACTTTTTAATGCTTAGTTCGTGTTGCATTGTCATGTCATAAGTAAAAGTGTTAGCCCCATTCAAAATATTTATTATAAATTTCACATAAAGTATTTTATTGTTTATTTTTCCGTAAATAGGTTGATTCAAGTTAGTTTGTTGGAATTCTTAATACTAACCTGACCTGTTTAATTAAACGTGTAGTGCTATGTTGACCTATTAAATTAATTGTGTTGCAAACCTTGTCACTAACCCGATCTTTTCATGTCGTGGCAGCTAGGGTTTTCGTGTGTGGGGGAGGGTCAGTAAGGGTTTTCGAGGGTGAGGGGAGAGCTGACTAGGGTTTTCGAGGGTGGGGGGATGTGCAGCTAGGGGTTTCAGGGTGGGGGAGGGGTTTCTAGGGATTTTTGGGGGAAGGAGGTGGGAGACGAGTTAGGGAAGGAGGGGATGGGCTAGTCGTCCTTGGGTGTTGACGTTGGGGGAGGAGGTGTGGGCGCCAACAGTGGGACGGAGGTGGCGCCGGCGAAGAGGAAGGTTGGTTTTTTTTTCATTATATTTTAAAAATAATTTTAAAAAAATCTCACCATATTTAATGATTTTAATAAAATAGTTATGGGGCCGTTTGGTTCGCACGGGGTAATGGGAATGGAATGAACAAAGGGAATGAAAGGGATTGGAATGAAACCCTTTCTATGTAGTATGTTGTTTGTTTTACAAAACAAAGGAATCACCACTAGTCCACCACCACACAACCCCTCTTCCCCAGCCATTCCACCAGCCACCACCTCACTGACCCTCGCCGCCCAATTTTGCACCTCCCCCACCCCATCGTCGCCCATTTTCGCATCTTCCCACCCCTCGCCGCCCCATATCACACCTCCCCCACCCACTGTCGCCAGATATCGTACCTCCCCCACCACTCGTCGCTCGATTTCGCATCTCCCCCACCCCCTCGCCGCCCGATTTCGCATCTTCCCACCATCGCCGCTCGATTTCGCATCTCCCCCACCCCCTCGCCGCTCGATTTCGCTGGCTTGTTTGGGTTTGGGTTTGCGTGGCTGGGTTTGCATGTCGGATTCTTGGGCGGCAGATTGGTTGGGTTTGCGTGGCTAACTTGGGTGGGAGGATGATTTTCTAGGGTTTCGGCGAGGGGAGGGGGAGGTGCGACGCGTTCCGGCGAGGGGAGGGGGAGGTGTGACGAGTTCCGGCGAGGTGCCTTGGCGGTGGGCGTGACTGGGTAAGGTAGCAGTTGGTGGTGTAGTGGTGGCTGGGGAAAGGGAATGCCAAAGTCTAGGGGGGGTGGGGAATGAAAATGGGTAAAGGGAATGAAAAAAATGGCAAACAAACAACAACAAAGGGAATGAGCCATCTTCATTCCCTTTTCCTTTGATTATTAACCCCAACCAAACGGCCCCTTGTTATGTTTGGTAATTAATAATACAGGGTTAATAAAAATAATATACTCCGTATTAAGAAAATTTGAAAAATAAAGATAACCTTTGACAATTAAATACCTTAATATCGAGATTAAAATTAAGCATGATCCATTAATAAAAGAATTAATTGGAAGTGATGTAAACTATATTTGATCTAAGCATCTAACTATTTTGATCTAAGAATTAATTGGAAGTGATGGTAGTTTTAGGGTGCTTCTACTTTAGAAACATTCTAATATTGCTGGTACTCCTAACTCCTTTAAATGAACTCAAACAAATTTCCCCAATTCTGAATTACACTTAACAAATACTCGCACCATATTCTAATCTAAAATACAAACAACACATAATCTCAGGTGACGCAATGAATTAGGGTTTCTGATTTGGAATAAATTTCCTTTGATTTAATTTCTGGGATTCAAATTGGGGAAGATCATAATTCTATCGAAGATAATATTTCCAAAATTAATTATATGCTTTGCAAATTCACTGAACAATATAGCAAAGGATGAGCGGAAACGAGTTCAGATTCTTCTTATCTTGCGATATTAATCTTCCTGTTACCTTCAGAATTGATCGTTTGGAAGGTACTTTGCCCCCTCTCAAATCATCAACATCAGGTACATAATTCTAAATTTGTTTATTTTTGTAATTATTTTTTTTGTAATTTTCTTCCAATTAGATTGTTTATTTGCAGAATTCAATTGCTCAATTTCAGTCAAATTTGTTGAATTTCTATTTTTGTGTGGAAATTGGAGTACCCATCTTAATCAAGTTGTGTATGGGAACTAGGTTAGTTGGTTAAAGTATTAGGAGCGGAATCGAGTTCTTTGATCGAACATCAAATCCTGTCTAAATTACTGCCTTAATTCATGGAAGAAGCCTGAAAAATTTCATTCCTTTTTGGATTATGATACAATTTTAAAGCTGTGCACTTTCACGAGTTGAATTAATTAAAAGAAACCTCAATGCAAGGCATATTTATTAATTATTATGATACAATTTAGAACTTGTATTTGCTTTTAGATTATGGATATATTTGCGGAAGCAAGTAAAAGTTGTTTGATGAGTGATTTTGGTGGGGCTTATTGTAACAATTTCGAGTATCGTTTGTGTGTTTTTGATTAAAGCTGCTGTAGACACTGGTTATGCAGCTGAGGAGAGGAGGGGAGAGCTTTTTGTCGAATGTGCCTTGTACGTCGATGGTGCTCCTTTTGGACTTCCTATGAGAACCAGGTTTGACTGTCTTAATCTCTGATACAAAATTTAAGTCTTTATAGTCATCTTCATTAGTATTACAATTTTGGTTTATGTTATAAAAATTTGCATAGGGATGTTGAAGCTCCACTTGATGTTGTGTTGAATACTATAGAATGACCTGTAATGTTGCATTGATACCTAGAGCAACATTTGTTAGTCTATACTATATACACCCCTAATTTTAACCTCCAACATTTCTAACCAATTACTACAAAAACTTTCCAGTATTCTTTGAACTAATCTTCCGTGGTTACACAGAATTAATTCTGTTTACAATTATTTCTCAAATTATGTTCTTAATCTTCTTAAAGGTTGCAAATAAATTATGTCAAAACTCTGTTTTTTTTTTTTTTTTTTTTTTTTTTTTGGGGGGCGGGGGGGTGGGGAAGAAGCTAATCATGTGAAACTGCTTCTGTATATGACCATGTCAATAGTCATGGCATACCATGCTATTCTTGGATAGATGCATCATACTATGCTGGGAGCCTGGAAATTGGCTGTGTAGCTTGGCTCAGCGCACGTGAACTCCAATTGGGGCATGTGTTGCTTTATTTCTTTGCTTCTTTGCCTTGGGATCTTGAACCGTTGATGTCACTACATGTTGAAGTCCACCTACATGTTTGGCTTGCTGTCCTGACTGACATGTCTTGTATGCTCGGTGAGAAAAGATGACGAGCCTTCTGATATGTCATTGATATAAAATTTTTGGTCATTTGGTGGATTATTCTGCAAGTTATTTAGTAGGGAGATTCAGTTAGCAATGATCTTGTTGGCATTTGCCAACTGGTTTGGACAACCTCTGATATAAGTATGATGTGATTTTGTTGCTATACTTTGTCATCGATTAGCCTTCATTTGCTTACTTTTGTGAACTGCCAGTCTCTGTGCCTTTTGTGAATAGCCTTCTCGGGTTTTGTTGATTTATGTAATGATTACTCTCATTTTATAACTACGTATTATTTTCCAAACCTTTTTTTTTAATAGCTTATTCCAAATAGATGCGAAGCAATATTGCATTCTATTTGATGTTTATGCACATTATTCTGTTACCTTTCTCTGTGAGCTAAACTGCAAATCTGAATTACTAAGATTTTAAATGCTCTTGTAGGGTGGAATCTGGACAATCTTTTTGCTGGAGTGAGCTAATTACATTGAGTACTAAATATCGAGACCTCACTGCTCACTCGCAACTTTCTTTCACGGTAATTTAGACCTTCCAATTTGCACGCTTGAGTGGTTTTAAGGAAAATTGTTATTGTGGTATGGTTGCTGTCATACTAAGTTTCTCACTTTTCTCCTCTTTAATGCATAAGTGTATGCTTTTATATTCTGTGTATGCATTGGTGTTTGAGGAACCTTAAATGAGAACTGCAGATTTATATTATCTAGTTTGTACCTTTTTTGGTTTTAAGTCAAATGTAGCAAGGATTCGTGTCCTTCCAGGCTCTGCCATAGTCTTTTGTTTAGGATCAACCCCAGGCTCCCCAGCATGCTGCTTTGAATATTACACATCATTAGTTTGTGTAATGATGCCACTAAGTTTTAGCTCTTTTGAAGGTCAATCATCATAGTCATCGCTTGCAAGTTGGTTCATTGTTGAATTTCTAAATGCATTGCTTTCCTTTTCATTAGGTCAAATTTTCTTTGTTGCACTTAGTCTTTTTGGTTTGGTGGTTAAATGGTAATTCTGTTTTCTCCCTTTGGTTCTTTGGAGAAGTATGCATTACATTTTAATATGCCGTGGGTGTTCTTATCATTTACCTGAGATCTGTTTGCTGGTTGATTTTTCTCAAAATGTAGGTATGGGATGTTTCCTGTTGCAAAGAGGAAGGGCTTATAGGTGGAGCAACCATTCTTCTTTTTAACAGCAAGAAGCAACTTAGAACTGGGAAGCAAAAACTTAGGCTCTGGCTGGGGAAAGAAGCTGACGGAGCATTTCCTTCTTCCACACCTGGAAAGGTTATCGATTTTATTCTGGTTTGTATAAGTTACATGCTGTATTTTTTTTCTGTAAGAAGTTGACAATCTACAGAATTTATATTGCTTAGTGGAAAACCTGATCTTATAGGTACCAAGGCATGAGCGGGGAGAGTTGGAGCGCCTGGAGAAACTTATGAATAAATATGAAAGGGGACAAATTCCACGTGTTGATTGGCTTGATCGGCTCACATTTAAAGCAATGGAGAAGATCAAGGATCGTGAAAGTTGTGGAAGCAAGAGTTCCCAGTTATATATTGTTGTTGATTTTTGCAGTTTTGAGCATCAGGTTGTGTTCCAGGTAAAAATCCTTAGTGCTGACTTTTGTTTTCATCCCTTTTGTTATTACTATGTCATATTGTCCGGATTTTCGTTATTTGCTTGAAGCTCTGTAAGTCTTTTTACTGAATGATACTGTCTTCTATTGACAGAATTCTGCTATGGCGGGCTGGAATGGCAAAATAATTACATGTATATAAGCTTGCCTTTTCCAGTTTAAAACTTGTTTGGGGATATTGCATTCCTTTCTCAGTAACTTAACTAATTTGTTGGAAGATTACAATTATGGTTTGGAAATATTGTCTTGTCTTACACTCTTGTGAATTGATATATACCTTGTTGTGCCCTAAAACTCGTCTTTCCATGTGACATATACTCCTGCCAGTTTTACATTATATATTAGGCACCCATATTTTTCAAGGTTTAATTTGGCCGGTTGATCTCTCTCAAACTACATTGACATAAATTATTAGATGTTGATATCTCCAAGTGCCAAGTACATTTCATATTTTCAATTTTTTTTTTTTTTTTTTAAATAATTTTTTTGTAAAAATTTAACAATATACATTCTCAATATGTTATATAAAAAATGAAAAAAAAATGTAAAATTACGAAATATCAGCTCTTTGCTTTTTAATTATGCTTGTTGCTTGTCATTGCTTTGTTGGATTTCTCTCAAGGGATTTTGCTATTATTATTTAAGAGCTTGAAATTTTTGTCTAGCTGTTCAATAAATTCTGATGTTCCTTTTAAAGCTGAATTAGTAGTCTTGTACATTACTGTTTGTTAGTTTTTGGGCTCTGAGGCAACTTTAATCTTGATGGTTTCATCTCCATAACGGGTTAAAGAAGCTATTATGTCTTACGGTTTTTAAAAATCACATTGTGGTTTCCTATAGTAAGAGTGTTGAGTTTATGAGATTTTAATTGTTTTTTTTCTCTCGTAAATTTTATTTGTATATTCTTTCTGTTTATCACTTTACTTATTTGTTCCCAACTTTTATTCAATCGATTATTTTTCTATGCTCTTTTTCCTTTTTGGGTGGTTCCTTATTACGATTCATGTTAGCCGACCCCAAATCATTTTGGGACTAACAGTTTGTTATTGTTGTTATTGTACAAGGAATATGACTGTACCCTTAAATAACAGTTGGTATGGTTTCTATTCTTCATATGTAGGAATCTGGGCCAAATGTGTTTTTACCATCCCCAATTGGTGCAAATGAATTTGTTACTGTGTGGGATCCCGAAGTGGGAAAGATAAATCCTTCTGAACACAAGCAAATAAAACTTGCTAGGAGCTTAACTCGTGGTATTATTGATCGAGATCTGAAACCAAGCTCTATTGAAAGGAAGTAAGTTTTGATATCTGGATATTATTATCAAGTGTATGAGTCTTTTTGTTATACATGTTGCTCTGAAAAGGAAGATATTGTGATATTTCCAATGCTTCATAGCTTCCTTCCCTCCTCAAGGCAGGAAATTTTGTTTTGCACCCTCACTGCCATAACCATATACCATCTGAATCTGGCTTGCAGCTGAAGAACCTAAAGATATACTACCTCTGTTTCACATTTTTTGCAACTTTGAAGGGTGCACGGACTCCTAGGCAAAATTTGTTTGTGAGTGTAAGATAGAGAGAGAAAGATAGGAATGCATGTAAATATGTGATGAGGAGAGAGATAGAGACTAGAGAGAAATGACAACCTAAAAAGGAAAGAAACATTGGTAGCAAATAATGTCTAGCCTCCATTTTTGGCAAAAGTTGCAAAAAATATGAAACGGAGGTAGTGGTTGTCATTGTTGCTTGCAAAATAATTCTTCTGCATTTTCATTCTGATACTTGGCCATAATGTATACTATGCACATTTGATGTGCATTTGATAGTTTGCAGCACTGTGCTTCTATGTCTTTTTTTTTTGTTGACACACATGGTAAAAATGTGCGTTTATATGTATTAATTATACATGTTTTCTCTTCTTATACACCTTCCATTACAAAATAAAAAAGGTTTATAACAATTTTCTGTTTCTTAACATTAAGAGCGATACAAAGGATATTAAAATACCCACCAACAAGGACTCTTAGTGGAGATGAAAAGCAGCTTCTGTGGAAATTTCGTTTCTCACTGATGTCAGAGAAGAAAGCTCTCACAAAGTTTCTTAGGTGTGTTGAATGGAGTGATTTACAGGTCAGGGCGCTGGGATCTGTGGCTTGTGTTAATCTGATGTTCTATCTTGAGATTGCCACATTCTACTATTGTATAGCAAGAATTAATCAGTCTCAGTGTTGGTGTGATTGATACATATTCAGGAAGCGAAGCAGACAGTTGAACTGATGGGAAGATGGGAGATGATAGATGTCTGTGATGCACTAGAGCTGCTGTCTCCTGTATTTGAAAGTGAAGAGGTCAGTGATGCCAATAGTTGATTTGTTTAGATATATAGATTTAGTTAAAACAATAACTGCCTTTTTTCAGATATACTCTAGTTCTATACCTCTCTCTTGATGTTGATGCATTCTTGTGGTACTACACACATAGGGTGGTTCCTTTTGTTTTTCTTTTATCATCTTATTACCTTGTCCCTCTTTCATTTGGGATAGGGTAGATTGGGTGTTTGCGGCCCATATAATTTTATTTATTTTTTATTATTATTATTTTTTTATATAAATTTTTTTCTACTTGCATTATTGAGCAACATTAAGCGTAATTGAACGAAGAGTGGAAGAGTGGGACCATAGAGGGGTTAAACGAGGGAGAGAGAGACCGAAATTGACTTAAGGAGTTGGGAATATGAAGTATATGGATTTGCATGAGGATGAGGCATTGGATTGTAAGGGATGAGGAGGAAATATTTTGTCGATGACTACATGGAATAATCACTTTTGGTTCATGTCGCCGATCCCACTTACGGGATTAAGGCTTTGATTGATTGATTGATTAAGCGTAATTGATGTCTCTTAACAGGTTCGTGCTTATGCTGTGAGTGTTCTTGAAAGAGCTGATGATGATGAACTGCAGTGTTACCTTCTTCAGTTAGTCCAGGCCCTTCGTTTTGAGCGCTCAGATAGATCACACCTTTCTCAATTCCTTGTGCAGCGCTGTACTTTCTCGTCCTTCAATTTTGTTTAATGAATTATGTTTCTATTATGGATTGTTGACATGATTTGAAAATCTATTTGCAGCCCTGCGAAATATTGAGTTGGCTAGTTTTCTTCGCTGGTATGTGGCTGTGGAACTACATGATCCTGCATATGCAAAGCGCTTTTATTGTACTCACGAAATGCTGGAAGAGAATATGAAGGTAGACATTTCTTGTTGTGAGAATAGTCAAATGCTTTGTAATCATACAGTTTTTGCACAAATAGCCGTATTATATATGAGCTGTCTTCATATGATTTACTACGGAGTATAAAGTTACAGAAAATTGGTGATTGGAAAGAATACCTTGTTATTATTTATATGAAGTTCCTTTTGTGAAAATCTTTGCATTTGTGTAACCATCCTAAATATGTGGCTTTGGTAGAAGTCTATGCTAGCAGTTCTTGAAAAACATGTGTATGGCTGTACCAAAGATATACGTGCTTTTAATTATTTAAGATTTGAAGTATAGTCGAAAGAAATGCTTGTTCTGTGACTGATGTAGTATCTGTAAGCTGGTTGTGTTAAGTTTCAGGAAATGTGCTATGTAATATAAAACCTCTTTTTATTTTTAATTGGACCTTTTGGACTTTTTCACTCACATCCCTCTCTGACCATCTTTTGTGCTTAATCAGTAAGAAAAAATATAATTGTGTGAGATCTTATTAGATTTGTCTTGTTTTATGCTTTTCTAATATCATTTTTTTTAAAAAGTTTTTTTACTAAATTCGAAGTAAAGATATTAATGTCCGAAATTTCGCATTTGCAAGCGTGAAACTCCAAATAGTGCAACTAAAAAACAAGAAAGTATTTAGATATTATTGAATGTATGTGTCAGGGGGATATGTGCTACATTATTTTGTATTTTGTAGACCGTTGTTACAGTGTGGTAACTGGTAAGCAAGTTTTTGTTTTCTTCTGGCTGCTTGTAATTACCCTTTATCATCTATGTGCTGGCAGCTATCAACTGCTGATACTGGAGGAGAGGATGGATTCAAGTTGTGGCAAAGTTTGGTTCGTGAAACAGAATTGACAGCTCAGCTGGGTTCTATAATGAGGGATGTTCGGAATGTGCGTGGTAGTACACAAAAGAAAATGCAAAAGCTTAGACAGCTTCTTTCAGGTCTTCTTTGTGAGCTTGCCTATTTTGATGAGGTATGAATTTAGTTTCTTGGCAGAGCTTTTAATTTATAATCTTAAGCCTTGTGATTAATGTACCCATGTCAAAGCTAGCAGTTGCCTCTTTTGTTTAATACTGACATGCTTGTGTTGGTGATGAAGCCAATACGATCTCCATTGCATCCCAAAGTGCTCATTACCGGGATTTTGCCAAATGAGTGTGGATTATTTAAAAGTCAGTTGCATCCGTTACGTCTGACTTTCCGAACATCTAGCGGAGAAAGCTGTAAAATTATATTTAAGAAGGGAGATGATATGCGGCAAGACCAATTGGTATACTACAGTTCTATTTTATTCTGAACCTTAAACTGATATATGAAATTTATAATGTATGTATTATTTTGGAGGAATTATTGTTTTGCTGTTTCATTCTTATGTTTTGATGTTACTTATTATTTTGTAGGTGATTCAAATGGTCTCTCTCATGGATCGATTGCTTAAATTGGAGAATCTCGACCTCCACCTTACTCCATATAGAGTCTTAGCAACTGGGCAAGATGAAGGCATGATGGAATTTATACCATCGCGTTCATTAGCTCAGGTATTGAATCTTCCCATGTTTTTTTCCCTTATGGCCAAGGAGCATGGCAATATGCTTATTCTGTATGTCTTTGTATTACTTGTGTGTTTGTAAACCATAAAAGTTTAAACCTGCGATATTAAAATAAAAAGGCGCAAAAATATACGCAAACAATATATTTATTGATAATTCGTGGGATTACAACTCTCATAGATCTATTGATTTCTCTCTCTAGAAAGGCTAGGGTTTTGATACATAATTATAGTACAGGGCCTTGTCGACTTATTCCGTACTATGTGCCTACATGTTTGGTGGTAGGGAGGAGATGGGGTCTATGTGACTTGTTGTTCTATTAGAGCCTCTTAAACCTAGGCAATCCTCTTTATATAGAGAGTTGTAGGTTGGAGGATAATAAAGTTATTACATATTCTCTGGGGCCGTAAAGTTATTATCACATAATTTTGTGATATCTCCTTATTTTTACATGAATTTGACACCTACAATTGACAAAATTTCAGTGTCTACAGTGTTTTCCTGCATTTCGTAAGGCGCTGGGTTTTGTTACTTGAAATTTGAAACCTATTTAAAAAGTCTGTTCTGTTTGATGTCCAGATTCTTTCGGAACATCGCAGTATCATTGGTTTTCTGCAGAAATTTCATCCTGATGAAGAGGGACCATTTGGAATAACTGCTACCTGTCTTGAAACGTTTATTAAGAGTTGTGCTGGTTATTCTGTTATCACATACATCCTTGGTGTCGGAGATAGGTAATTTATAAGCTTTAAAAAAATATTATTACAGCCTGAGCTATTAATTACCAGCTTTTAAAGTTTTTTTCATGTACTAGTTTATTCCTTGTGGTTTTGGCTGATATATACCTACTTTCTTGTAAGTGCTGTAACTTCTTTAACTGTTCAGCTAAGTTTGGTTCGACAAAAAGCTGTGGGAAGCATAAAAGATTAAATCATTCCTTAATGAAGATTTTGTTTGTTCCCTTTTTTACATTGAATATAGAAGTCTTAAACCATAAAACCCTCAGCTTTGGGGCACTGTAATTATTTCAGGCTGTCCTATCCTGTGTTGTAAATTCAGTGACTTGTACTTTTCTATTGATGTTTCTCTTTCGTTACTTTCTTTCTTTATTTATTTATTTATTTATTTTTATTTTATGGGTTATAAATTTATTGATATCTTTGCTTTGTAGGCATCTAGATAATCTTCTCTTGAGAGATGATGGACGACTCTTTCACGTAGATTTTGGCTTCATATTAGGTCGAGACCCTAAACCATTTCCACCACCAATGAAACTTTGTAAAGAAATGGTTGAGGCAATGGGTGGAGCTGAAAGGTATAAATACATCTTTTTTACAAGTGCAAATTTATTTTAACGCCAGTAAAACCAATCAAATGCAAACACATGCAATAGCTGTCTTGTGTTGGTGGCCTTCTTTTTGGTTCCATTTTCAAATTGGCCTAAATTTAGTTTGCTGCTTCGCTATATATTTTGTGTCGCTTTAGGTTGAACTTTATGCATCAATGTTAAAAATTTACACTATTTATTTTGTTCTTTCAGTCAATACTACACAAGATTCAAGCAATACTGCTGTGAAGCGTATAATATTCTTCGCAAATCCAGCAACTTAATTTTGAATTTGTTCCATTTGATGGCGGGTTCTAATATTCCTGACATTGCCTCGGATCCTGAAAAGGGTATTCTTAAGGTAACATTTGTTTCTATTTACTGTGTGGATCAACCTGATGGTAATTTCCTTACCAAGTTCTAAAGTTTCCATTGATGTTTCTAGCTGCAAGAGAAGTTCCGGTTGGACCTGGATGATGAAGCCAGCATACACTTTTTCCAAGATCTCATCAATGACAGTGTTAGTGCCTTGTTCCCACAAATGGTTGAGACGATTCATAGATGGGCTCAGTATTGGCGTTGATCTGTGTATTGATTGTGAGGCTAACAACATCAATGCAGATGCTAGGTAAGGTTCCTCAAGTTTTCCTCATCTATATAAATGCTGAACAAGATTCCTTGAGTTGGGCTCCTTAGGAATGAGGACCTAGTTCTTAGTGAGGCGGCTTTATTTATTTATTTCATTTTTTTTTTTTGTGGGGTTTACCTCTGCAGTGTAAGCCACTCACTCTTTTGGTTGAACCTGTCCTAACTCCTAAGCGTATATGAATTAGTCAGCAACAGGACTCTATTAGTTTTATGGGCACTAGCTTGGCAACTCATTGGATCATCTCTGTCATGTCTTTGGAGAATGATCCTATGCAGTTAGATATTTGGTGATGTGACTAGTGTTCAAAGCACACTCCTGAGTTAAGACCATAATCAATTCCTGAACTTTGCCAAAAGTCAAGAGCTAGGTTCCTTTAATTAAGAGTTATATATTAAGTCCCTTTTGGATGAAAGTCAACGTTCATTGCTGGGTTCATCCTTCATCCAAGTAGCTGTTTGTATACTTCACTGCCTCATTGGTACTTGTTCTTTCTAAGAAATTTTAGATTTTCCTAGTTTTTACTATGTTCAGTAAACTTATGTAAAAACAACAATATTTAACTCAGTTGCCTAAAATTTAATTTCCCTGTCCAAGGATCATTGTCATCTTACTCAACAAAATTAACTTTGAATTCTTATTCAACTTTAGTTCTTCTTTCTTTCTTTCTTTTTTATTTTATTTTATTTGTTAAATACGAAACAGTCTTCTCTGTGATATGGAAATCTCAGGTTTCATATAAACAGATCTACTCTTCACCAAAATAAAAAAAAAATAAATAAATAAAAAAATAAAAAATTATAAACAGATCTACAAAGAAATCATTTCCAACCTGATGCCATTGAAACAAATCCAAATATTAAATTTCTTTAGCTCTAAGAAGCTATCTGGATACTTCAATGGGATATGAATTTCTTTCTTTTTCCTACTTTTGCCCCTAGACTTGGTAAATTCCCTACTTTGGTGTCTTTAGAGGTGTGGTTGGTGGCTTTTGGTGTTTGATAAACGACTTTTAACCCAAAATGAAAAAGCTTCTTGAAATAGCCAAATCAAGTATTTTACTACATATATTGTAGGTTCAATTGATTCACTTTTTTCATTTAAAATTTGCAGCAAACGTATGGACTCGTAAAACTCTTGACAAATGCCATGATCAGATATCAATTCCATTTTATCATTTAATGACGCATAGTGCCCATAGTACAGTATCAGTATTGGTTTTCATACTTGCAGTGCAGGATTCTAGATGATAATAACGGGGTATAATATTGTCCTAAGTTTGAGATAACTCTTATTTCTAAAATGTTATGATTTCCATCCAAATGTAAGACCTGACTCTATCTTTTTAAAGTCAAAGAATCCAACCCTAACCCGGGCAAAGTACTTATATCATCTTAACTCCTCACCTAGTACACCTCATCTCCCATCCTCTTCGGTGATATTTATCATCATACTTTCTTGTATCTGTAAAATGTCTATGCATTTCTTGCAGATTAGATTGAATCTGTTTTAATATCTGTGTTTAATGGCTGGCTTGGGCTTTTCATGCTTCTCTAGATATCGGATTCATGCAAGAATTTCCATCCTCTTCATATGGTAGATGGGATGCCAAGACAAGGAATGGAGGTAAATTTGTTCATAATTGTGCATTTACAACAGGTGTTTTTATTCTTATTTCCCACCTTTTTTTTCCCTCTCTTCATCTGCTTGTTCATCATTTGTACAGTTTAGCATAGCTGAATAGTTTGCTAATATTATTAGAATGTAAAGAAAATCTTTGGTTCCATGTAAAGCTAATGAAAAAAACATTTTAATCTTTCTGTCATGTGTAAATGTATAAGATCTTTTGGTGCTGTGAAGTTTATGAAATTTTTTACTCCGTACTCTTCATAGATTGAAGATTGATGTATATAAACGAGTGGAGACTCAACTATTTGAGACTAACCATCTGTAACATTATTGAAGTTTTGGCATCTACTCCAATTTAACTTTTGCACATGACTAATCTAACATCAAGTTCTGATTATGGAAGTGATGAAGCTTCATTTTTTTTAACGTTATATTTGATAAATTTTACAATATCGGATGTTATTTGTATAACTTAAGATTATGAAAGTGCGGGTAGTTTAAGTGGTTAAAGCTTTTCTTATGATATTGTGAGATCTTAGAGTAAGTTTAGCCCCAAGTCTTAAGACTTGAATGTGACATTATTTTTGGTGGTCCTTATTGAAAATAATGTCATCAAATTCTTGTTAAGACTTAATAAGACTTACACAAATTTATCACTTTAGCCCTAATACTTAAATATTTGACATAATATATGTAGAAAAGTGTAAAAATAAAAAAGGGATAATAAAAATAAAAGTGAGGTGGGTGAAGTGGGTCCCAATTTCAAGTCTTAAGTTGAGTCTTGGAATTTCAAGACTCAACTTGAGACTTGCTTGAAATTTTTGAAGAAAAAAAAAATGAGAAAAGTCTTAAGCATATGTCTTAGGATTCAAATTAATGATGTCACCCCAAATCTTAAGACTTGGGGCTAAACTTGCTCTTAGGATTGATTTCCATCTTCACCCTTGTGGCTCTCTAAACACAAAAAAATTTAAGATTATATCTCGAGTTATAATACAAGATTTAATCAAGTAGGAATTTTGATTCCTCGACTAGAACTTTGTAAATTTTCAACATAATCAACTTTGATCGTTAAGGGCTTGTTTCAATTTACTGAAAACATCTAAATTGAAATGAACTGAATTTAATAGAGTTGAAATGAATTGTTTATGAGGGAAGGAATTAGGAACTGAATTGACCTGAACTGATTGGAGCTCAACTAAACTGAAATTAAGCTGAACAAACAGACCTTAATACTTATTTTGATGAGATTTTTTAATTTTTATTTTTAATGGAGATAAGTATTTGCAAAAATAAGAAATTATACTACATATTATAAACAATAAGAATCTATCACCAAGTTGCCCCTTCCCTTTAAAAATTGTCACCATATATGCTTTGGTCCAAAGTAATAAAGATATTAGATTAAGGGCTTGTTCTGATTTACCGAGTTGAACTGGATATTTTATGAGAGAAAGAAATTATGTATTGTAATAAACTGAAAATAAGCGGAAGAGAACATGCTCTAAACCCCGTTCTACGCACAGTTTTACAAAATTTTATAACAAATTATAATGTTAATTCAAAATCTACCAAAATATGATCCACATATTTTCAAATGAAATTAAATAAAGTTTAAATCTTAATTTATATCTGTTACTAAGCCCCGAAATCGAATTAGCCTAAAGGTGAACCAGGGGGAACAACGAAAAAAAATATAAAAATAATACTTTATACAATAAAAGATACGGAAAATAAGTGAATATTTTTTAGGAAGTATATCACAATTATATGAATCGGTGAATATTTATTTAAGGAAGTGAATCACAATTGTATAAAGAAATGAATATTATAGGAAGTGAATAAATAAAATGAAAAAAAAAAGTTTGGAGGGAAAAACAACAACACCAGAAAGTGACATGTGTATGTTTTAATATTATGTTATTGATGTTATTAATTGATTGATTTGGTGCTCGTTTTCCTCCAAGGGATTAGAATGAAATCGTACGTTTAGAGAAAATACAAGTTTATCAACATGATAACAAAAAGTGTTTATCAAGCAACAAAATTATAAATAAATTGACAATTTGTTTATACAAATGGGTCTTACAAATGTTTTTAATTACATAAGTGTTATGCTGACTAAATTTTTGTTGATTTATTTACCATTTCGCTACTTGATAAACAAATTTTTATCAAGGTGATAAATAAGGGTTTCCTCATGTATGAAATACAGAGTACTAATTTAATATTTCTCTATATGGGGTCTGATTAGCCTATGCACGTTTCACTTTTTCCAAAGAGATTGTTCTTGCTGGAAAAATTATAATGTATCAAGAAAATTAAGACTAATATATACAAGACAAGAAATATCTTGTTTTTTTCGTAGACTACGTTCTTTCAGATTACATTATGTATTTTATTTTTATAATTTTCACCAAAAAATCAAATTATAGTACATAATGCAAACTATTCGAATCAAACAATGAATTGGTTTTTTTTTTTTAAAAAAAAAATCTTGATATAAACTTAGAGTGTATTTGTATGAGTCTTTACCCCCAAAAGTTTTTAAGTTTTGGCGAATTTTGATTTAATTTAATAAATTTTATACTATTTTTAAAATAATAAAAGAAATTTTTATCTTTTTTAAAGTGAAAATTTAAAAGGTGGGTTGACATAATTAGCCACATCTATCATGTCATGCCCAAGGCGACTAATTGGAATTGCTTGCTCAACACATACAATCTAGAGCACAACCTAGTGCCATGGAATGGCACATAACATGTAGATCTATAAGATATCAAATTAATTGTAGCTAGAATGGGGCTAAGTGTTAGAATCCAACTCCTGTTGATGTATTATATGCCATTTGGGTGCTTTCCTATAATTTAGTTTTTGTTTTCCAGGCCTTAGGTCCCATTATTGTGTTATTGTCAGTTTAGTGTTCACAAGAGATTCTATGCATGTACTACATTAAGCTCTTTAAAGTCTTTAAGGGGCGAATGATTAATGAAATCTTAAAGCCTTCTACCAAGTGTTGCTTTGTTTTTATGCTTGTTTGTTGTTAGACCTTTATAGATATTGTGTCTTACTTGCATAATAGCTCCCCTCCACACCAACTTGATGCATTAAGAGCTAGTGGTTCAGACCCGCTTATGCCCGCCTTGAAGTATTGGCCGTCACAAGCCCCGACCACCCGTACTCTGTCGCCCAAATAGACAAGAGTACTCTTGAGATTCAATTACCCGCTTGTGTTGCTTCGTGCTCACAAGCCCCTCTTCCGCACAAGGTTAGCATTCTAGCCTCACCACATCACATCAATCCAGTTTTCATATAAAATACGTCTAAATTCCAAACTTGAATCATTTTTGTGTTATGAAAAACCTCTATATTAGCTAATCAATGTGCGACCCTATTACCCTCCCCGACATGGAACACATAGGAGAAAGTAGGCAAGTAGTAGTTATAACGTTCAAAGGTCAAAGCAAACAATAAAAAAAAGTTCCAATAGTTCCAAATTTCCAATACAAACCAAAGTTCAAATTGCATTGACCAATTGAGCAACTATCTAAGGCAGAGCTGACCTGAAATTGTCTTTCCAAACACAATTCCAACGTGACAACCATGTGAATATAATGACTATATTCTTAAATATAACCCAAGATCCCCCATTTATTTACCACACTTCATTATTCCATCACATCTCTACAAATAATAAAAAAACAAAATACAAAAATAAAATCACATATCAAGGGGTAATTCAGTAGTTTCACACCTAATAATTCGGTACCCCTCTTCTTCTTATAATATCCCACCTCTCTTCTTCTCCTCCTCTCTCACTCATATTCTACGCTATCTTTCTCTCTCTACACCATTTTCTCTCTCCTCGCTTTACAGGTTTGTTTCGATTTCCTTCTCTTTTGCATTCTTTTCGTTCTTCGATTCGATGTGCTCTTTGTTTTGATCGTCGCATTGAATTTTATAGGATTTGTAATTGGTTATTGTTCGAGAATTATTAAGGTTTTTGAGTGATTTCATAGATTTTTAATGTGATTATTGATTAGGCATTTGATCTGATTTTCAGTATGTGTTGTTAGTGAATTTGTGAAATCATGCATTCCCATTGTTGGTTTAGATTTGAGAATTTCTTGTCTAGATGTTTGATTCTAAGTGTTGATTTTAGGATTTGTGATTTAGGTTTGTTTATTTCAATGATCTGAGGATTTTTTGGTGTAAATCTTGTAGATCTGTAAATTTTTTGAATTTTGAAAATGACAATTTAGTTTTGTTGTTTGCGAATTTGAATTTAGCTTGAAAATGAGATGCGATTTGGTAGTTATGGCTTTAAATTGGTGAAAAACTTTCTGATTTCTGAGATCTTTAAGTAATGCGCAAATGTTCGTAGTTCCGAAGCTTAATTATGCTTGAATTGTGTAATTTTATGGTGAAATCAGCTTATTTTCTTTGATTTTTAGTACTTACAAGCATTTTTGTTATGGCGATCTGACTTATATGTTGCCTGAATCATATGGATCCGGGAACTTACAGCTAGATTTTGAATTTCGAACTCGTGATCAGAATTCCGGGTGATCTGTAGTGCCTGATACATTTTCACTTACATTGTTTTGTTAAATTATGCATCTGATTTTGTAAATGAGCCTGGTTTGTTTATTACATATTGGTGCCGGAATATTGATGCATCGATTTTTACTGAATGTAGAAGTTAGTGACTAATTCAAGGGGAGAAATATGGGGCTTACATTCACTAAGCTGTTTAGCCGTCTCTTCGCAAAGAAGGAAATGAGAATTCTTATGGTGGGTCTCGATGCAGCTGGTAAGACCACCATTCTTTACAAGCTCAAGCTCGGTGAGATTGTCACTACTATCCCCACTATTGGTGAGTCCTCTCTCTTTCATCACATTTCTTATTGATCTATGTTAAATTTAACTGTCATTTATGGTGTTAGTTGGCCGTGGTTGAGTTGAGTTAACTAGGTGTATCATTTTTTCGTATCAATTCTGGTAGTATTGAATTGTGGATCTTGTGCAATTTGCATCCATCAATCATGAGTGGCTTTATTTGGGGGTGTTGGAAGCATATGATTGGGCTGGTGTACAATGATTTAACTATGTTGCTTGGACCTCTGAGATGCAAGTTGACTTTTATATCATGTGGGGAAGTCACTTAATAGCATTGGGTTTAATCGTAGCAAATGTCTATTTCCATGCAGCTTTTGTGATGTGTGGGGTGAAGTTTGCATGGAACTTATTATACACTATGTCTGTTGCTGTTGGTCCGAGGGTCTCTATATTGGTCACAATATTGCTAGAAATGGCCATTTTTATGCCCTGTAATACAAACCTGCTAGCTTCAATTGTACCTTTTAAACAATGTTTGTGATGAAGTCTTTTCAGTCTCGACAATGTAATTTGTAACACAATTTTATGATAAATGAGTTTGAATGACGGAATATTTGAAGGTGGGAGACCATATTTGCCAAAGTACTTAATGATATGTAGGAGTTTTGCACAGTTCCGAGTCCCTTCGGGAAGAATAATAGTGTGTTAGACAGGCTGTGTTCCATGGTCAAAGGCCTCACAGCCCCTTTAGGTAAAATATTAAGAGGACATGTCATGACATTCTCTGCTGCATGTGTATGATAGATCCATATTCCATAATGTTTATACTGCAGTGTAATTGAAATGTCCTGTTCCTGAGCCTTACTAAAAAAACTTGTGCCCTAAATCCCAAATTCCCAATACACTATAAGTTGTTTACATGGGATAATAGAGTCATCAGTTGCTTCAATTATTGGTGCTTTCTAGTGTGATATATTATGATATTGGTATACTAGGGTATGTGCTAGTTTGCAAACTTTATTGATGTATCTGGTATTTTCACAGCATTTACTACATTTATAAAACCTTTTTGCTGCTTGTATGTTGAAGGAGGGTGTCTATTTTTTCAGGATTTAATGTGGAAACTGTTGAATACAAAAACATCAGCTTCACTGTCTGGGATGTTGGGGGTCAAGACAAGGTTTGCATACTGCCTTACACATGCAGATTTTTGTTGATCAATTGTGCATTTAGTATCTATATATATGGATTGTATCGGCTGGCTAATTTACTAAAGAATAAGATTATCCCCCCTCCCCTCTTTTATCATCCTCCTCTCATTCCCTTCTTCTAGTTAAAGACCTCTTAAGAGCTGTTTCTGACTAAACAAATGTTGCAGATCCGTCCATTGTGGAGGCATTACTTCCAAAACACTCAGGGGCTCATCTTCGTGGTTGACAGTAATGATAGAGACCGTGTTGTTGAGGCAAGAGATGAGTTGCACAGGATGTTGAATGAGGTATGTAGCTTTCTTGTGACTGATTCAATAGTAGTATCATAGATACATAGTATGTTATGGTAGGTGGAAGAGATTCTTTCACGCCAGTTTTGAAGTATATTATAATATAGATGCTCTCAAACATGTTGAGCAACTACCACATTATTTTAATTTTGAAACTTATTCTGCCCATTTTAAAATAAATGAATCTATGAAACTTGGATTGGACCTGAGTTGTGACATTTTTTGGCTCAGGATGAGTTGCGTGAAGCAGTGTTGCTTGTGTTTGCTAACAAGCAAGATCTTCCTAATGCAATGAATGCTGCTGAAATTACTGATAAGCTTGGCCTGCACTCTCTCCGACAGCGTCACTGGTAAAACTCTTTGAAGGATCTGCTGCTTTACTGAATGCTATGTATGTGTACTTTATTTAAAGATTCATATCAAATGATTAAGCTGTTTTTTTTTTTTTTCCTGTTCTCAGGTATATCCAAAGCACTTGTGCCACCTCTGGTGAGGGACTTTATGAAGGATTGGATTGGCTTTCCAACAACATTGCAAACAAGGTAGATATGCCACTTTATTTATCTGATTGTTTTGGCTATTTTCAATGCTCTTTAACCACTTTGCGATTTGCAACGGATCATTTATTCTGGTTGTTTTAGTTGTCTTTGAAAAAGTGACCATGATTCTAAAAGAAATAACTATTATTATTATTATTATTATTATTATTATTATTATTATTATTATTATTATTATTATTATTATTATTATTATTATTATTATTATTTTTTACTGTATTATTTTTTTAAATACTACCATGCTGTTTGGTTATTAATATCTGTTTGTTCTATTGATTTCAGGCTTAAGAAATTGAGATTTTGTCATGGACTGTTGGTCCTGGATGCAGGGGTGAACATTATCTAAGTCGCTTCGTTTTTAACCATTTTTACCTTAGAGAACTCAGTTTGTGGTTGTAATTTTGTGGACGGCAGCTATAAGCCTTTTGCTTAGAGCTTTGCAATATGGATATATGTTACTAAAAGTGTCAAATTGCGTTGAGCGTTGTTTGTACTTCAAGATTCTTTGGGTTCCCATTTGTGAATTGCAATAGTTGTAACTGAAGTTAAATACTAGGCTTCTTTTCGTGACTCCTTATAGTAGTGATCCAGTTTAGTGATTTTGTATTACTATCCATAAATCAGTCCACATTATTCGTTTAATCTTTTGCCAAGTAGTTTATTGGCTTTGTGCATCTGGATAATGCAATCTGTATTATCTGGATAGTACTAGGCCAGTTAGCGATTGGTTAAGAATTTGCAATATTTTTTAGTGTTAATTTTGTTTCACTACATTGATTGTGTTAGCGACTGAATTGTATGGTGGATCTTTTACTGATGTATGACATTTCTATGTATTTCAAAAGTTCTCTGTAATGATTTGTTAATGAAAGTTTGTCCGACTTCATCGCTCAGGAAGTCTGTTGGCTGTTGCCACATATTGATGCTTGACTTAAGTAGCGAAACAAGATTTCCATGGAACGAAACACAATGTACCTGTTACATATAGCAATAGAATTGCGCAACTATTGCCTTTGACGAGAGTTTGAAGAACTTTTCACCATCTTCTGATGCCCAAATGTCTTCACTTGCCCTCTCACTAGGATCACTTTATGGTGTTTCTGTTTGTTGCTGTAGTAGCTATGGGACCTCTTGAATACTAAAAGCAAATCGATATCTTTCCCACTACCATTGACCACACCCTCAGCGTGGATTTGTGCCACATTTCACTGCTTCTTACAGCCCGTGGAAACAATACTTGGCTATCTTGTTAATGCTTACAGTGCCCCATCATAATGTCTCACATGTATCAAGGCAACACCTCTGTAGGGTGTAGCAGCCGCATCTCTTATCTCTCCTTTGAATAACATAACACGTCGTAGGTGGGTTGTGCTTGCTCCTCTTAACTCCTTAAAAGTCATCGCCCAAGGAAGTCTACTGAAGAATACTTTACTTGAGTTTTTGTGTTTCTATGATAACATTATTTTCACATTTCTCTGTTTCAACAAAATACTATGTTCCGTTCTACATAGTTTTAAGCTCTATCGTCTATACATAGATATAAACATCTTAGTTGGTTTATTCTACCCAAGTACCTATACAAGTGCCCCTTTTGGAGCAAACAATGCAACCCTTGTGTGTGTGTGTGTGGGGGGGGGGGGGGTGTATCTTTTCAGATTGAAATCCCTTGCCATTTAGTCCAAAAGTTCTGAATACACAGATATCATACTTGTATTTCATCTAATCTAAACAAAGATAAGAGACTTCTTTGAGCATATTACCTAATTCTATTGAAATTTAAAAGCTGCTAAATAACTGAGAATCCTAGACAATGATAGATTTAAAAGGTTATAAAATACTAAATATTATAGATGATTAGAAATCCATCAAATTGCAGCCATCTTCCTCACCATCATCATATTCATCCATGTATTCTGGTTCTTGAAGATGATCATCTCCGAAAAGAAATGGTGCAGCTGCTCTGCATCTCAAGTTTGGTGGCTTCCTGTCATTCATGTCAATGGCAGACATAATCTTGTCTTTTATGCACTTCTCTATGGCTTCTTCTTCAATGTTGTCCATCTGCATGCCAAGGAGACCGAAACATTCACTTTGAAAGTTGGAGTCATCTGAGGAAAGAATCAAGCCAGCAATGCTTCTTGCAAGATCAGGGGCATGATTGTGGATCTGAGAAACATAATATAGAAGACTAAAAGTGAGATTGTGTTCATTCAGTATGCTACTAGTAATTGAAACTTTTAGCTTTGCTTTTGTTCCAGAGATATGTGATGTTATTTATGGTAAGCAACTGCTCTCATTAGGTAAAATTGAGTAAATCCACTTTGTTTCAGTAATACTGGATCAAAATTTAGTCATACAAACATGTTTTTGGCTGCTATTAGAAAGAAAAAAAATTTAAAAAGAGTAGATCCAACAGTTGGGAGTGTTTGTAAAGGTACCTTGAGAGCATGGTCACTAAGAAGAGCTCCAGTATACCTTTCCTTCAAATCATCAAGCGCAAGACTAATGGCTTCCTTCACAAGCTTTGTCTCGAGTTGAGTTCCTTGCCTTAATGGTGGTACTTTTACCTTGGAAACAAGTCAAAGAACAACTGTATAGAGCATGATACAGAACAAGTGATGCATGTAGCTTCTGATTACTATTGCCTAACATAACAGCAAAAGTGCAACATATATTGCTTGTAATGGATATTGCTTATTATAACAATGAAGGGCAATGTCGATATGAGTATATGGTGGCAAGGTCTCCCATTCAAATATTAGAGAGTTCTCTTCATCTGCAATACTTCTAGGAGTCAGTCCATAGTTATTCCACTTGATGCTTCTTAATGCTTTGGAAGCTGACTGATGGATTGAACATGGCGAGAAGTCCCTGAAATATAAAACCTGTCAAAGAGTTCGTGTTACACAAATGTTGTAAACCCGTCCTGCATTCAGCTCATAAGCCAAGACATACATACTTCTTTGTATCCACTACAAAATTACTAAAATCTTCTATGACAGGAATTATAATAAGGCAATTGTGGATTTTGAATCGATATGTGAAACAGAATTTTCAGAGCATGTTTTCCATGATGTTTCGAAGTACATGTATCAGAAAATGCTAATATTTGATATATTTAACATTTGTTATGCAGCTGGACATCCATGAAATGTAATTGAAGGATTATTTACTCATAAAAGTACAGTGCTTTTTAGGAAACAACAGCCAAACTTCAACAATAAGCACGACAAAGTGAAAAACCAGATCAAAACTTCGCTTAGGATCTCCAAGAGACTTCATCAGGTCATTGCATGCACAGTAAGCATCTCTAATACTACGTAGAATTTTATCCAACACAGACAACTGACCTCTGTTTTTGTCTCAAAAGCCTTCAAACATGATGGATCTGATGAATCCAATAGCTCATTTTCACTGATTAAAATTACAACTTCCACAGAAAATACATCATTACCATGCTTCTGTTGGCATGCTTGTCCATTACCCACCTTCAGGTTGTCCCTGAGAAAAAAAAAGAAGCACAACTTACCATTACAGACATAAAGAACACACACAAAAGTCTTGTCATATTTGTGTTGTTTCTTTTCCCCTTTTGTTGAAAAGATGGAGAGCCCCTATTTCATCATAATGGAGGTACAAAAGCATGCACCGAAATATGTGTTCACCTGCTCGAAAAGCAAGACAGACACTTTTCACTTAATTTTCTATGTTTACAAACATAGTCCTCAAGCCCAGATGCTAGCTGTAGTACATTTGATGATTCTGAATTAGGTGATGTCAACTCAGTAGCCAGAACAGCATTTTCGTGTTGTAATCCATGTCCATCATGTGATTCAGCCACCAGCTCAATTGCTATGTTCTGGGGGGAAAGACAGAAATGAGTATTTAGTTTTCCTGTTAAATTATTACAAACAGCAGAACTTTCTATTGTAATGTCTTAAGCTGGTTTAAATACACAGAAAATGGAGTCGAACTTACATTTATCTTCAAAATAACCATCTGCAGAAAACAAGTTAAATATAAATCTTTATGTGAACAATAAAAACGGCAAGCAGATAAAACATGCTCCCATAGTCAATTTGAGTGTTAGATGAAGCCAGTTGCTTAAGAATTTCTAAATCTCCAGGAAAATTATCCTATAAATTATGGCAAATATGTATTAAAGAGCCGAATCATATCATTCATGATAACAATGATACAGGAAATTGTCAATCATTTGGAGATAACTAAAAACAGATGAAGACTTCACGGAAATGCAGTGTACCTTTCTGAGAAAGCAAGTCATGTCTTCCAATATTACTTCCATCTCCTCAGCAGAAGTCACAGACACTTCAGTTCCACTGAAGAAGAGACGAATCAATAGAATTATGAATTCACCAAACAATGTATACAAATAGGAAAATTAGAGTTTTTGGCAGATAAACAGACCTGAAAATGGCATTTTTCTTTGGGCTTGAAGGGAGCTTAATTGTCTTTCTGTTAGAAGCGCGTTCTTTTAGGTTTACCTTGTAATGGTAAAGCTCAAAATCACCAAGGCCTGCAGATATGGCCATTAATTACTTCATGCTGCTGGCTGAGAAACAGCAATTTATTTGGCATAAAATAATAATCCTAATAGTTAGGCTACATCTCAGAATTATATGAAAATTATCGCCATTTTAAAACAATAGCATACATTCTAAACAGCCAACTAAAGTTTTAACCCTTTTCTTCCAGTTATCCTGTTTTTTTCTTATTGTGTCTACATTATCTACAACTGTTCAGCAAAGAGCATTGTGATGATTGGTGCGGAAAAAGAGGCAAAGAGCCCAAGAGTTCCTTTCCCTATAAGTTATGAAACCTTAGAGAAAATGCCGCAGTCACATTATGGAGTACTTTGTAATGGAAATACACATATTACATACAAGAACAAAGTTCATCTTTACAGAAGTAGGAAACACATAAGAAAACACTTTCAGTTGGCTGTTTCCACAAAACTCAAACAGGAAATCATCATTAGACAATATCCAGATAAATGATTAGCCACACTAGTAATCCAGAATAAGGCCAGAAATGAAAAGAAACGATCGATTGAGTTAAACTTACTTGTGGTTGTGACTGAAAGTATACCATCTGCATCATAACACAAATGGAACCAAACAAGCAACCATAAGTAGACATGAACATTAAATATCAATATCAGTAAGGCCCGTGCCCCGGAAATAAATTAGTAAGGCAGCTCATGATACTCACCCCACTGGGAAAGTCCATTACAGCCTAATTTCAAGTCCTGAAATTCCTTCAAGCAACTTCCAGCCCCAGTATCAGAAACTGTCAACAAACAAATAATACAGTACAAAGAAAATTAACTTCCCATCAAATTAGTCTCATCATAATCTTTTTACAACCATTAGAGGATAAAAATTACAAAAACATAAAATAAATTGCAAAAATAAACTCTCAAAAGCAAGTTTATTATGGTTTTTTTTTTCTTCCTATTATTACAACCTATATCATACAACTTCGAGATCATAAAATTGGCCGCAACACACGGAACGATCTTGTAGTTGAACAAATACTTTCACATCCATTTAATTATTTCACATAGCTATAAAATGAGCACAAAAACAAACAATTGGAGAGCATAACAATTACAATATTAAAAACAATTACACAAATAAAGAAATTATACTTGAGATTTGAGTGAGAAGTGAATCGGAAATCGTGATTCGTCTGACGAACACAGATAATCGGCATGGATCTCCGGATAATCGACATCTTTGGATTGC